GCTGACGCGCGGACCAGTCACCGAACTACTCGCATGGACCATAACCTGCGCCCCAGCGGTGCGCACGGCGGCAGGACTGCGGTCCCTTGCAAACCGAGCGGCGTCTCTCATCAATGAGTTGCCCGTGGTTGTTCGGCGACTGAATTCAGCAAGTTCTATGCCCGCTGTCAGGTCATTTTTTGCGTGATAGGGTAGCCTCATTCTGCTTATGCGTGCACGGTTTTATGAGTTCTTATCCCTTATCACTTTCTGTTGTTTTTTAAATACTTTTGGTGGATATCTCTCAGGCTAATGACACATAATAGTCACATATGTATGTGGAGGGTCAGCTGATGTCAAATACAAACCAGGCTACCATACTGATGTCCTTGTCAGTGGGACCAAGTCGACCCTCCCCAACTGCTCTCAGTGTGCTCACCCGCGATCGTCAGCCGCTGGAGCTGTACAGACATCGCCAGTGCTCGACACAATTATTCGCCAGCTACCACGTCAGCCGCAGCACCTCGGCAAACGCCACTGCAAATCGGGAGTCTTGGCCCGATGTTTTGCCGCCCAGCCTTACCCCCCTCCCCCCTCTCCTGAACGGTGCTAAGGCGTCACGTCAGATCCAGCGAGTTCCCGAGCTTAGCAGCAGCGGCGAACGCCGACTCATCAGGCTGGGCCAATCACGCCTCAGCACCGGCAAATGTCGACCCACGACTCCCCTGCTGGTCGCCCGACCCACGACTCCCCTGTCGATCGCCCGACCCATGACTCCCTTGCTGATCGCTCAACTCATGACTCCCCTGCTGATCGCTCGACTCATGACTCCCCTGCTGATCGCCCGACTCATGACTCCCTTGCTGATCGCCCGACCCACAACTCCCCTGCTGATCGCCCGACCCACGACTCCCCTGCTGATCGCCGAACCCATGACTCCCCTGCTGATCGCCCGACCCACGACTCCTCCGATAATCGCCTGACCCACGACTCCTGCTGATCGCCCGTCCCATGAATCCCCTGCTGATCGCCCGACTCATGACTCCCCTGCTGGTCGCCCGACCCACAACTCCCCTGCTGATTGCCCGACCCACGACTCCTGCCGATCGCCCGACCCATGACTCCCCTACTGATCGCCCAACTCATGGCCCCTCTACTGATCGCCTCAAAGTCAGAGATTATCGCATCTCGCTCGGCAGCCGTGATCGGAGCCGGCATACCAAGCAGCCGCGAGGCATTCCGGTCGCCAGCAGTTGACCCGAAACGGCGAGATCGGCTAGCGTTTGCAGGATTCCTGAGTTGTGCAGCGTCGCAGCCCAGTTCACATAACAGAGGCACATTGAATCTGAAGCCTGGCTCAGCTGCTGACGCTCGCGGTTCGTAATGATCCGAACATCCGGTCGGTGACCTCTCTTCGGCCGCTGCAGGCTCTATGGAGATTCGCGGTAAATATACAGATGTAAGTTTGCAGACATCAGTAAGGATAAAGGAAACGTGAAGCAGCCGCCAAGCGCGTCGAATAGCATCTTTGGTATTCGAATGGTGCTTAATTTGATGTTTTAACACCGTTATATGTTTCAGTTCTGACAGTAATTCGCCCCTCCCCCCCCCCCCCATTGCCCAGACGCTGAACCGGATAGTGATGCAGGATCTTAGACCTGCCGACAGCCTACGGTGCGGAGCCCAATGGGGCACCAGTCGCACCATATCTTCGGTGCTAGAAATACTGATGACCTGCCATGAATAGCTGTCATGAACCAGTCGCGTTCACGTTCAGATGCGACGGGGGGCGGCCGTCTCCGACACACAGCTTCTCACACAGCTACAGTACCGCTACACAGCTATCCGGCTGGAGTTCCGGTCCGGCGCTATTACAGCCAGTCGTTGGCCTGTTGACAGGCGGGCGGCGCGATGTGGCGGTCGGCCGCTGTGTGGGGCGCACCCTCGCAGCTGCACCTCACCGTGTCTCTGGCTGGGCCGGAGGCCGGTGTCTGGAACCCGTCAGTTGGGCCCAGCCCCCCCCCCCCCCCCCCCAGAGGCCGTGACCCTCACTCCCCGCCGGCGGCAACAGCGCCGGCTCATGAGGTCGACCATCGTGGGGAGTGGGTGCCCTCAGCTGTGGACCAGGGTGGGGTTATTCTGGCGCCGGTCGCTGTCGGGCTGAGGCAGAATGCCTCCAGTGTGAGAGGTGCCGTGTTTATCCGGTGTGAGGGGATTTCCTACCACCTTGGCCAGAAACGGACCAAGGACTGATGCTCGTTGTATTTACTTATGGCATCTCATCACCATAAGTATGAGCATATATGTGCACATTATTCACCGCCACTGAAAACTCAGTTCGGTCGACGTCATTTGACGTCACGTGCAGGGGCTGTATGGCAAGACTGCGAACTGTTAACGGTAAAACCATACCAGATATAGTTCATGGTTTTTCCATGCCTCCTGCTCCACGTACCCTTAAGCGGGGCTGAACAAAGTGTAGTGGGAGGCCACATTCGCCGAAAACATGGGCGCTTAGCTGTCTTTTGCGACTTTCCTGCTGATATGGATTTGATATGAGGGTTTGGACATTGATCGTGTGGTGCTTACTTTTGAGACATTGCTTAGTATCGATAAGAGTGTGTCTTTTAGGAGGAGAAAACCGTGAGTTGGCGTAATACTACGCAAACCCATCCATATGCAGCTGGCGGCCTGCAGTAAACGCTTGCTCGCGGCCAGTCACCCGCGTCACTTGTTTGCAGTGAACGCCTGCTCGCGGCCAGCCACCTGTGTCGCTTGGTTGCAGTGAACGCTTGCTCGTGGCCTGTCACCCGCGTCGCTCGTTTGCAGTGAACGCCTGCTCGCGGCCAGCCACCTGCGCCGCTTGTTTGCAGTGAACGTCTGCTCGTGGCCTGTCATCTGTGTCTCTTGTTTGTGGCCCAAAATCGGTAGGTAGGCCGGATTCGTGCATGGACAAGCACGCACAAGACATGTACGCGCGAAACACGAGAATGGTCGCCGACAGATTGAGTAGTCGATAAAAAGCCATCTGGAGCTGACGCGCGCGCCGATAGCTGACGAATTCTTAAACAGGTCACGTTGAACAACGTCCGAAATGAGGACAGACGCTGTGTAACCAAACAGGGAGCCAGTACTCGTAAACAGCGCATGTAGGCATAAAGTGCCATGAGGCACAGACTGCTTATCTTACGTCCGAGTACGTTCAGTCGGCGTGGCAGCGCCGTTAATCGTGACTTGTCCCGCTACCTCAAGAGTTATGAACGTCAGGCTCGTAGCCATGTCAGCAAGGTGGACCCAGATGAGCCGACGACGGCGGACAGAAGAATAGTGGGGTCCCATGGCGGAGCACATTTGAGGTTTTATTCGGCACTGGTACTAAAACCTCCACCACCGTCCACGTGCGGCCTATTGCATGAATTAGGGATACAGGCCAAGCACAGCCCCCCCCCCCCCCCCATCACCCAAGGGAGTCACCTGCCGATGAATGAACTCCGGCCCGCCGGTCCGTGCCACCCCCTCCCGGTCTCACGGTGAGGCCCCACCGCTGCCCACGCGCTACCCGACGTCGGTTTCACACAGGGGCTCCTGGTAACCGGAGTGGCCGGGGGTAATCGGAGCAGGCGGACCCTAGAGCCGGGCGCCACCGGTCACGCGGCCGAAGCCACAGCCGGACGGGCGCACCACAGACAACGCTCGCGCGGCCGCAGGTCACCTGGCCAGCCGCCGGACACGTGATCGGAAGGGGTTTAGAAGTCGGGGGAATGCGATGGTAGGCGAATGGTGGTCGGACGGGGAAGCAATGAAGCTGGTTCCACTCGCCAATGGCCAGAACGCTGTTGTCGGTATGGTGGAATGAATGAAAAACCGCTTGATTGGATAATCATTCGGATAAAAAGGTTGGCAGTTCGCCGCCAAAAGCGTGCGGTGGTGGCATCCGAGATGGCGAGGCGAACACTGAAGTAACGCATTACATTGCGGTAGCGGCATGCATTCGCCGCGCTTGCAGTGTGGTGAGTCTCTGAAGACTACAACGGTGGCCTACTTCCATTTAACATCGTGCGGCACGTCTCCAGCGGATAGCTCTGGGACGGCCTGCGGTCGCGTGGCATGCTGGTCAGATTTTTTGGGAGAAGAGGCAACGGCGCTTTCAACATCTCAGATCAGTTGGTGGCGCACTCGTGACCCGCCTGAAGCGTGGACGATTCAGCGCGAGTCCGGCGGTAAGGCGCCGACTTGCCGCACATAATCGTAGGTGGACGTTCTACCAACTGAACTAAGTAGTTCTCATTACGCTTGCTGACGTAGCCATTGCGCCCTCAGAATTAGACTGCCAGTCTTGTAGGATTAGACGCGAGTGCAAATCGGATCTGCATGAGATGGGTCTGTGCCAAACAGACATTAATATTTTTTGAAGCACTCGAACTCGATGATGACCGAATTACGTGGGTAATTTGGAAAATGGGTCAACACTCGGAAAGGCTTTTGAAAGGTCCACAGAATGAGGGTCTCTTTCCTGATTCACAGGTTCCGAGTTCTAAAATAGGACAACACAATATAAACTCCGTTCCCTGTCAACTTTTACAGTTGATTAACATGTTATGTCTGCTGTGCTGGCCGATAAGTGACTGAACCGTGCGACCAGGCATTGTTTGACGGCCTCATCAGGCAACAGAATAAGACTGAGCAAGTCAATATGCTGCGACATACAAACTGATGCAAAATTGAACTGACGTGAGTCCGGCGAAAAGGTGGTAAGTCACCAGCTACAAAACTACGAAAAGTACAAGAAAATAAAAGATCGTGGGAGTCACTGGGTTTTTAAATTGTATCTGTGTGACGTCCTCCAGGGGCCGGGGGTCGATGCTACTGCTTCGTAGGGAAGCCTATCTGGAAGAGGCACCGGCGGCCAACACGTGACTCTCCTACCCCAGCCGCAGGCAAACAGGCGGTGCCGTGACTCTGACTCTGACTCTGACTCGCGCTCTCGCCGCACCCGACTGACAACATGCCTCCGTCGCCAGCAATGGCGAGGCTGCGGGTGCGGAGAAGGGCGAGAACTACTGGACCTACCTGCACCTGGACAAGATCCTGTCGGCGCAGGCGCTGAAGAGCGGCGCAGCCGGCGCCGTCGTTCACGACGAGCATCTCTTCATCATCGTGCACCAAGGTTAGACCCGCGCCCGCCTCCCGGCACAAGGTCAGGCCCGCGCCTGCCGCCGAGCCTCCTGGCACAAAGCCAGGCCCGCGCCTGCCGCCGGGCCTCCTGGCACAAAGCCAGGCTTGCGCCTGCCGCCGGGCCTCCTGGCACAAAGCCAGGCCCGCGCCTGCCGCCGGGGCTCCCGGCGCAAGCGGCGCTGTTTGCAGGTCGAAGTCGCACACCAAACCGTGTTCAATGCCGCTGTTATGCCTTGCTGAATGTTCGGAGTGAACGGAGTGATGCAGTGCCATCTAGGCGAGACGGAAGACATCCGTTGATAGCTCTCTGCCATTTGAAAAGATAAAGGTGGGGCGAGACGGGCAGCAAGCCTGAAATGACGCGGGGTGCAAGCTATCGCTAGTACCGCGCGCCGGCATCACGTTGCTGAGATTGTCCAATAAGCCGGGAGGTTCGTACAATGGATATAGTCACGGTCTCTGCCTCATGGTTGTATGTGCGTCGGTGGCGAAGCAAGGTGACGCGCTTCGCGATATTTGTATGGCCTGCATGTCTTAGCATTTCCTTGTTTTGGTGCGTTTAACGACGTTGGATGTTTCAGCATACGAGCTGTGGTTCAAGCAGATCATTTATGAAATCGATTCAGTTCGTCAGCTGTTCATGACAGAGGTAAGATAGTATGCATGTGTCTAATGCAACTGTTGCCCAAAGCCAGGCTGATCGTCCCTTGAAAAGCATGGGATATCGATGCCGTTGGGTGAACAAAGTTCTCTCCATCTTCCTGTTTATTGCACGGTGAATAAGGCTATTAATGCTGTCACATCGCTGTGTGATGCATGAAGTCAGTACAAACAGCAATAAATTCGGAGTATAATATGATGATAAAACGAAATGGAATTACGCGGATCTAAAGAACGAAATTGTATTTAAGAATGCTTACGTGAAAACTTATAGTTTTATTTCGCAAATCCTGCGACCTTGCAATAGCAACCTTTGCAACCTTGCAAAGATTCTACCCACTCGCGTATATCCATTAGTTCTCGGAGAACCCGTCGCCGCCTCGCTTAGTAACCAGCAGTTCGACGGCTAAAGACAATCATGTGAGCGAAACCAGTTAGTGATGCCTCCTCCATGATGGTATTCGTCGGCATGTTACCGCCGGGCAAAGCAGCGTTGCATATCGCCATGCCCCTGACGTTATCTCCTTCATGGTTTGATGGGTGCCCGCGAGCGACGGTGTGGCGTCTGGACCAGCAGGCCGGCCCCACAGTTCTCGGCAAAGCCTTACGTAACGGTGCCGGCGCCGGGCGGAGTTGACGTGCACACCTCTGCAGTCAAGCATCAGGCGGAAGCCGATCTAAATCCGTTTGGGAGCAGCCGTTTGCGTGTCATTTCACAATTAAACCAGGGCTATCGCCTTAAAATATAAAAGGCCGCATGAGAAAAAGAGAAAAGGTACCAAGAGGTGAATAGTGCGCGAATTATTCTGAACGCAATCTGACGAATGGCCCTCATGCTCTGTGGGCACGCGGTGTGCACCAAAATGAAAATGCTTTAAAATGCATGCAGCAAACGTACGTCGAGCATCGGCTCCATCCCAACGTAACATTTCTTCTGTCGGACGTGACGGGGTTTCCATGCACGGCGGCGTCTGAGCGCCGAGAAACGTTACGTAAGTGTGATTCGGGGCGGGCCGTTGCCCTGCACATACGTGGCCATTGTCTGTCAGCGTTGCACCTCGCAAGGAGCATAACCAAGGCTGGCGCTCAGGGCCGTCCCCGCTGACACGTGGCCCCACCCCGCCGTCCACTGGCACTCAGGGCCGTCCCGCTGACCACGTGCCCCACCCCGCCGTCCACTGGCACTCAGGGCCGTCCCCGCTGACACGTGCCCCACCCCGCCGTCCACTGGCGCTCAGGGCCACCCAGGCTGACACGTGTCCCACCCCGCCGTCCACTGGCGCTTAGGGCCGTCCCCGTTGACACGTGTCCCGCCGCACCGTCCGCTGGCGCACAGGGCCGTCCCCGCTGACACGTGCCCCACCCCGCCGTCCACTGGTGTTCAGAGCCGCCCAGGCTGACACGTGTCCCGCCGCACCTGTGCACCGCCAGAGGACGCGCTCACAAGGGCAGCTGGCTCCAGACATACCGCCGTGGCGGTCAAGACGATCTGATTCCTGCCCAGCTGGGTAACGTGCATGCGTGGTTCTTCAGCTGCACTGCAGCTGTGTTGTTTTCGATCCGTCTATCCGGTGGCTGTGTTTGAAAAGTGTTTTATCCGGGACATTCTGTGCCGTGTTTATTTGGGACATTCTGCATTGCGAGTGTGAGAGTGATCAAAACACACACACCACTGATGTCCCGAGCATTTACACGTGGCCGGGCGGCAGGTTGAATGCTCTTCGCTCAGATGGGGTCAATTTGAACCCCCTGAGATCTCAGAAGCTAAGGGAGTTAGAGACACCAAATCCACAGAGTGTGTTGGGCAGAATGTGATTCCATTTGTGTCAAAATTTGATGGTCCTTGGTCATGACCTTCAGGTCAAATAGAACAAACAAGGTCAAACCCTAGATTGGTGTCTGTAGTGCCCCAGATCCTAAATACCTGTCCTAAGCAAAAGATCACTGGTGTTGATTTGAGGTCAGTGACCTCGTTTGACCTTTCACAGGTCATGTTGGCCAAAACAATACAGGACTGCTGTAAGTTTTGCACTCGAATTTAGCGTCAAAGATTACATTAGGCAGCACGTCCCTAAAAACAGAATGCTGCCCGGGTCACTTTAGGTCAGCGACCTATTCTGACCTTGAATAGGTCTAGGAATATGCATAATGTGGGTCCTGTTATCAACGAATTCAAAATGAGCACCAGAATTTACTCCATACAATACACTCTAGAGTAATAAAGCAGGTGGGTTTTGAGTTCGATCTGACCTTTATACCTGACCCAAGGTCAAAGGAATCTGCTCATTCAGTCGTTGTGCTGTCTAAGAAACTATCTCAGATATGTTTCGTGTTGTCCGTATATTGAGTTGCGAAGAAGTTTAAGTAATAGTATGCTTCGTGTTGTCAATATGTTGTATTGCCTAAATATTGTGTTGCCAAAAACTGTCTCAAAAATGCTTCCACTAACGCTTCGTCGCTGTATCACATTGAACAATTCCCTGGAAACTGTCATCGCTGAATCCATGGCCTGATTTGACTAATGTCGTAGGTCAGCGACCTTTTAAGGTGCGTCTAAGTTTTGGATCCCAAACGATCCGCTATTAAATTGTCTACAACTATGCAAATTCCATCCGAACGTGCCTTAAGGTTCCATACGGAAATAACGTGCCTTAAAATGTCTCATGCAGACTAGCTTCAGGTCGCCCAGGTTTGTTTCAAAAGTTTTTTATTGAAAGAAACCATTCAAGCACAGCATGCATTGGTTCAATATTACAAATAGCTGGACTGTAACTGAAACTTTATATGAAAAGCAAATGCCATCGTGACATATTGTAATGAATTCTTAAATTTTGTCTCTCTAATGACAGTTTTTGTGGTCAAGCCAGCGCAAGTCACTGTCGTTCTGCTCCCACTATCTGGATGCTTTTGAGTGCTGACTTGCATTTTGGGCATGACTCAAAAACAAGTTTTCGGATAAGCTTCCCGCACAGCCTCGCCCACGGAAATGGTGATACGTTGTCTGAGCCGCACAGATTATGTCGTTTGCGCAACTGCGTCGGTGAAATTCATTTAGAAGGAACAGACGGTTTCCGCGCGCTTCGTCACACAAAATGGCGACGCTCTGACCGCTGGAAACGCTGCCAGCGGCGTGGCGTTGACTCGTGTCTCAGCAATATGAAGAAGATATCACGTAAGATTTCAAAGCTAATTAAAACACTCCTATGTCACTCAGACGCATTGCCCACGTAATGTTTGGTGCGATTCCACGACCTCAAGACATGACCACTTCGGCAAGTTGTGGTTTCCGCCTGCTTCCCTGTGCAAAGAAACGACACCGCTGTCGTCGGCATAGCACCGCCTCCAGCCACATAACATCGATTTGCATCCCAATGATCGGCCGTGTGCACCGCTTAGGCTCTTTTAAGTTTGCCATGTTGTCCCTGTTGAAGTTGCTTAATGCTTGCGTCAATTGGCATGCACTGCTCATGAGCACGTTACCATTCATCGCTGCTCGAGCCTTGCGGCATGCTGTCGACGGCACGGCATTTGCACCGCTTGTTTCTCACAAATAGACGATAAGTACCTTCCTACTGAATTCGAAAGTTTGCCTCGTGCACGCCCTGCGACCAACACTGGTATGTAACGGGCGTGAACTGGCGTCGTGAAAAGTCACGAAAGTTGAGCCCGTCGTGTGCGCAAAGTCACGGTAATCCCTACAGCTGTATGTGCTGTGCGCGTGCTGCTCAGATGCGCGGAGACAGACAGACAAGGATAAATGTACGGGCAGAAATTGGCGAATTTGATAATATGATTGGTACATGTATGAATACTGTTAACATTGTTTTATCATTAATAAAATTATTGATTATTATGGTATACCATATAGCATAATATCTAATTGATATTGGTGGTATTAATGTAATGGCAATTGATGTACGATAAATTGGTATATATACATATCATAATTGATGCGATTTGATAGTGAGTCCCTGATCGCAACAGCAAATACGTAATAGGCATGTTTTGTCGGCGGTGTGGGATGCCGCCCGCCTGTGTGTGCGTGCACGTTTATACCAGTCTCAGAGCGTCTGGCGACTGTCCTGTTGGAATGTTTACATAACAGGAGGCCTGATCTGCTCACTGTCAGCCGAGAACACGACATAATGCCTGCTTTGGGTCGGCTTCACTGCACAGTTCTGCTCCACAGCTTTGGTGTTTGCAGAAATGCCGTTAATCATGGCTCTGACGTGAGCGTGTGCTGGGTGCGATAGTTGTGGCATGGCCGTGGTGGACGTAAACTTGTGTAAACCTGGCAATTTTTTGCGCTTTGAAACGTCGCCACCATTGTCTCCGTCGATCCCTTGATTTTAGCACCGGTTCTATCTTTCAGAAGCTCAACGAACGAAGGATGCTGGACATAATCAAGCAAACCAACAGAGTTGTTTTGATATTGAAGGTATGACGAAATGCGGCTGATATATATATATATATATATATATATATATATATATATATATATATATATATATGTACAGCTGATACGTTAAGGCCTACCAGCAATTGTTTCAAGTCGCGCATCATTGGTGAGACACTTCAAGTAGCAAGTAGCGACCCGTTTTCGGAAAATCTGATTGCTAGCAATGGCTCCTTATTTGATCCGCTGAATGTCGTGACTTGTTATCGGCCTGTAGTTAACGAGGGTCCATAACATTGGCACATTGATGACAAATAGTAAAACAACATGTCCAAATTCATCGGCTTCGGCGTACGGCGAAATTTTACTCCACTGTCCCTATTGGAATATGACGAATTCAAAATTGTCGCCAATATTTAGAAATGATGCGGCAATTTGGAGCGGAAGCCAGACGAAGCTTATGTTCAGTCGGTGGGCATACAGTTAATCTGAGATCAGGGTTTCATGAAAGCACGTCCCTGTGAGATTCTGTTGTGCCTTATATCAAAGTTTGGCGCCCCTTTTATCAAGGTTTGGCGCCGGGCACGCGATACAACTGTGCCACTTTAGTGATTGATCGCTCTGCACGCTTTAATCGCTATCGATGGCGTGGAGCTATTTCTTCAGTGTTTTTAGGCATTCCGTCACCGTGCCCGTGTTGACATGGTGTCAACAGAACCTGACTGGTTAAATTATTATTTATGACTTACTGAGGGATTTTGTACCACTATGCAAAAGTCATCAATCTGTTCCACCGTAAATGCGAGCTTTGGGCCTGAGTACCTGCCCCTGGCCGTGTCATGAATATCTGCCCCTAACGACACCGTTCTCCTGTTCTCACACAGTTTTCTTGTTCTAACGCTGTCCTCCGCTATAGCTGCTGGTGGGCCAGATCGAGATCCTGGAGACGATGACTCCCCTGGACTTCCTGGACTTCCGTGACCACCTTAGCACGGCATCGGGATTCCAGAGCCTGCAGTTTAGACTGCTGGAGAACAAGCTTGGGCTGAAGAAGGTGAGGTTTGTGTGCGGTTTTTGTGTGATGTCAGTTTCTTCATGGCATCGAGAACCAGTTGTGTATGTTTGTTTAGTTTTTCTTGCGTTTTCTGGCACTTCTTGACATATGATTCCATGGAAAGATCTGATCTGTTTCGTACTGGGTCCTGGATTGTACTATCGCGGTAGTCATACGCTACGGAGTCTTTAGATTCGTCGTGCTTTTCTTTCGCGACAGATGCCCAGGTACGGAGTGTGCGTCTCCGGGCTTCCTGATCTGGAGGACCGACCTTGCGGTCCCAATTGGGGCTTCTGATCCGCTTTTGCTTGGTTGTACCTATTTCAAACATCTTGACGCTTAGCCACGGTTTTTGTTTATGTCTTAGGGAGTGCCCGCCAGGGCTGTCATTTGTGGTAGATGTTAGGCCATGATTGCGGTCCCGTTCCCGCTTCAGAAAAATAATCAGAGTTCGTTCTGGCTACCTGCACGCCGTTGATGGTCACCTTGCAAAGAGCTCTGCTTATACATACAATAGGTGTTGTCCTTTCCCCAAAGCCGGACACACGGCCTTGGGAGTATGGCTGTAACCTGTCATGTCGCGCGTCAAGCGGTGTCAGCCGCGGCGTCTGGCTCTGGCGCGCGCTGGCGGCGAGACCGTCGTCACCCACCGCGGCCATACCCTGCGCGCAGGAGTGCCGAGTCAAGACCAAGTCGGACTACTCTGCGCCGTACCACGACCACCCGGAGCTGATGGAGCAGATCCGCGACTCCGAGGAGCAGCCGTCGCTGGCGGCACTCGTCGAACGCTGGCTCGAGCGTACTCCTGGTATCTCCGCCAAGGGCTTCAACTTCTGGGACCGCTTCCAGGGCGCCGTTAAGGCCATGCTGAACGACGAACTGAAGGCCGCCCAAGTACGTGCCCTGCAGAATGGTCTTGCTCTGGTTAGGCCACCTCGATCCTAGGATCCCGCAAGAGTGGGTACAGTGTTGAACCCAGAGAGGGAGTGACCAAAGACCAAATACGGAATAATCATCTCAAGACAAGTCGTGAAGAGACTGTAGTATTTTTTTTATTTCACCGTCTAGGGGCGGTGTTTCGCGGTCCCTTTTTCTCTTAATCTACACGCCTGTTGCAGTGAAGTTACGTAGCTTAAACTTGTGATGAATTAAACCTCCAGCATTGCAATACGTCCGCGCTCATCCAGTCGGTCATCCGTTCGGTCCCTATTTGTTCCAAGTTCACTGCGTGTCGACAGCACTGTGTCGGCAGCGGCGATAACGCCAGGCCCTTACCATCGTGACATCTCGCACCCGAGTGTGTGGCGGCACCCGAGTGTGTAGGCGGCCACCCGAGTGTGTAGCGGCCACCCGAAGTGTGTAGCGGCCACCCGAGTGTGGGATGGCCGCCCGTCCAATGTTTTCGCTGGTGGCTGACGCTGTGCTGGTCGCGTAGGCGGTCGCCAACGAGGCGCAAGCGAAAGGAGGAGGTCGATGGCCGTCAACCGCCGCTCCGTCCTCTTCGACTCCATCTTCGACGTGAAGCTGGCACGACGCACTGCGCTGCGCGCGGTGAACGCCGCTGGTCCCACGTGGCCTTCCAGGGCGGCCCTCATGATCCTCTTTCTACAGGTGAGAGGTCGCAGCCCCGGCACGTGACTTGAGCCTTTTCATTTGGACCTTTGGGTGCCTTCGTCATCCCCTACAGATGAGCGCGGATCCGTGCAAATGACTCGGAATGATCCCGCGTGATCTTCCAGGGCGCCCTCATGACTTCCGTCTGTCATAGCGGCTGATGGCCAACGGCCCGGACGGGTGTAAGGGTGATGGCCCACGATCTGAAAAAACACATTTACTAGCCATGTTTATTCCTACCCATGAAAAGAGGCAGTCAGCTTACGTTACGTGGCTGATGAAGCCGTGGAACATGTAAAGTGCCGTTAAGCAGTCTAAGTCCATCAGACTTAGCACTCAACTTACCAGTGGCGGCCGCATAACTTTGAGACCTCACAAACGCCTTTGTCCGTGACAGGCATATCCCACAGTTTTGCTGACACGACAGCGAGATCGCATGTCATCATTTCTAGGCATAATCATCTGAAACAGCAGGTGTTCCAAATCATTTCACGCCAAAACCTTGTTGAAAACATTATCATTGTTCATGAGCATTTTACGCCTGACCTTATCGTGGGTGGCCCGTGATTTGAGGTGATACCAAAGTGCGCAATTCCGCATTCCAAGCCCCGCGTTTCCACCAGGAAGTTCTGCGGGCTCTCTCTGCAAGGTCGCTGTTAGGCATGCGCGCAGGAGGCCTAACCGGAACCGTATTCATCCGACCCACTCTCGTGGGCGCGGTGGAAGACATCGCACACCACATCCTGAAGATTGCGCGCAGTAGGAGGCCGAATCGGGACCGGAGTCATGCGACCCACTCCCGTGGGCGCGATGGAAGACATCGCACACTGCATCCTGAAGCTTGCGCCACTGCTCATTACCGCCATGGCATGAAGCAACCTGGTCTGGAAAGTGTAAACCAGCTCACGCAACACTGCAAACATTGCGTACTAATATACTCTGTATATTTTTCTCAGCCAGCGCTTCAAGCATAAGCACCGACGTACTCGCGTAATCGTGCCGCGTCATATTCGTGCGCATTTTTATCCGCGCTCGTGGCGACTGCAAGCCAAGCGACAAACGTGGACAAAGCCGTGGCGCGTTCGTGACCACACGACCACATGCCGCGGACTGGCCGGTCTGATCGCATCTCAGGTTTTTCAAACCACCGTTGGGACATGGCTGATGTTGGGTCAGAAAATTCCGGCAGGGGGCGACTGGCCTATTGAGAACGGCTGCCGCATCTTTTCAATCTGGCAACGCGGCGGCGACGGTCTAGCAACGGCATCCTCGCCGCGCTGACTTCGGCCGGCGAGAGTGACGCGGTTACCCCGGCGTCCCGTCTTATGGCCGGGCGTGGACGTGTCGCTCCGCTGAGTCACTTGCACGGCGTCGTCAGGAGGCCATTGCGGGGCGGCCCGGTCGGCGCCCAGTTAGCGGTACTCACTGCTGGCGGCGCTTCATTTCGACTGGCCTTGCCAGACGAACAAGCCACAGAAGCTTGTGGGCTTGTTGAAGCAAGAAGGCATCACGCTACCACGTAACTTTCTCGTTTCTCCTGACGTGAACCGGGGACACCCGTCACTGGCCTGCGGGGAGGCAGGGGGGGGGGGGGCCGTCTCCTCAGCCCTGGCTCGGTCACTCTGCGGTCGGACTTCGGCCGGCCGGCCCCCGGCCAGGCCCGCCGCCCGTATCGCGTGTTGGCGGGTCGACCAATCAGCGCGCAGCTCGCTGGAGGCGAGGCCGCCGGCCCACCGCCGGCCGGTAAACACCGCCCGACTGTCCAAAAGGCTGACAACGCGCGCCATATCCAGGCGGAGGCAACAAGAACCGGTCGGGGCGCCTGCGTGGTGGGGGATGGCGCCGTCGGCGGTATGGAAATGCGCATGTGTGTGTTACACGGTTCGTGGTATGGGCCACCAGTTTGAGGAGCGGCGTTTTTAAGGGCGGTGATGCGTGCTGTCCGGTTCCTACGGGCAGCTCGCGTCTGGCTGAGCTTTTAACCACCCCCTAACCATGACAACGCACGCATCCGCATGGCGCATACAGTGACGCACGCAAGATCTGACGCAGCGGGGTGTTTAGTAGTCGTCGTCGTTCTTGTCGCTCTTGAGAAGTCGCTCTTGCGGAAGACATCTCATTCGACACCCTGCCCATCACTTTGAAAGTAATTTATTTTATTGGTCCCGTTTTTCCAGTGTGTGAGTTTCATGATTTTTGCGGCGCACTAAGTTGCCAAAATGTGTGATAAATGTTGTTAGAGCTGGAGACACTTTATTGAGACAAAAAAAAGAGAACATGGTGCCTTTTTCCCGCGAGTTGAACGAAACGGCATACAGTGGCTTTGACTTATCCCGTATGGCGTTTTCCACAGTGACTTCTCGGAGCGCACTCGGGCTGTGGGAAACGCAGTATCACATGTTCTATGGTGACGCACTGGTTCAAATGTCAACCAGTGCGGTTCTTGGAAATTGGCATTTGCCACCCGCTGGGCCAGTCACAGACGTCTTTGTTGTATGAGGGTTATCATGACAACGGTGGTCGCGACAACTGTAGGGAAGAAGCGTAGTGTTGTTACAAGGCCCTGACTGCGTAACTTGTACTCGAAAATAATCAAAATCGATATCATTGTGCAAGATCATTATATCTTGACGCTGCTGCACTGGCATTGCCCAATGCCATTATTAGACGTAGCTGGTCCTGAGGTTTCACTAGAGTATGTTTTTGAAATATGTCTCAAAGGCGTCCGTTTAAGACGGGTGCGAACGAAACAGTGATGTGTTTACGGGGTGCAGGGTTAGGGGG